TCTTGGATATGACACCAAAAGTATAATGAAAACAACAATACATTAATTTGACTGAAATTTTAAACTTTTGTGTATCAAAGGATACTAACACCAGAATGAAAAGACAATTCACAGGATGAGAGGAAAGATTTGCAAATCACATATCTGATAAGGTATTACTATCCATAATATATATTTTTTAAAATCCAAAACTCCTGTAACTCAACAAAAACAAAACAAAACAAAAAAACCCTATTTGAAAATTCACAAAGATTTAAGTAGGTATTTTACCAAAGAAAACATACAAACATCCAATAGGCACATGAAAAGATATTCAGCATCACTAGTCATCAGGGAAATGCAAATCAAAATCACAATGAGATACCACTTCGTACTCAGTTAGGATGGCTATTATAAACACACGTACATATACACACACACAGAAAATAACAAGTGTTGGGAGGATATAGAGAAATTGGAACACAGGTACATTGCTGGTAGGAATGTAAGATGGTGCTGCCATTTGAAAAACAATATGACGCCGGGTACAGTGGCTCATGCCTATAATCCCAGCACTTTGGGAGGCTGAGGTGGGTGGATCATGAGGTCAAGAGAGCAAGACCATCCTGGCCAACAGGGTGAAACCCCGTTTCTACTAAAAATACAAAAATTAGCTGGGTGTGGTGGTTTGCGCCTGTAGTCCCAGCTACATGGGAAGCTGAGGCAGGAGAATCGCTTGAACCCAGGAGGCAGAGGCTGCAGTGAGCCAAGATTGTGCCACTGGACTCCAGCCTGGTGACAGAGCGAGACTCGGTCTCAAAAAAAAAAAAAAAAAAAAAAGAAAGAAAGAAAGAAAAGAAAATAATTATGCTAAGTGAAATAAGCCAGACACAAAAGAAAAAATGTTGCAGGATTCCATGTACATGAGGTATCTAGAATGGGCAAGTTCCTAGAGACAGAAAATAGAATAGGTTATGCATGGTGGCTCCCACTTGTAATCCTAGCACTTTGGAAGGCCAAGATGGGAAAATTGCTTTGTGTCCAGGAGTTTGAGACCAGCCTGGGCAACATGGTGAAATCCCATCTTAAAAAAAAAAAAAAAAAAACAGAAAAGAGAAGAAAGTAGAATAGAGGCTACCATGCAGGGCGATGGAGGGAGACTATCTCAAAAAAAAAAAAGAAAGAAAAAGAAAAACACATAGCTAACATCATATTCAATTAAGAAAGACTGAAAGCTTTTTTTCTAAAATTAGGAACAAGGCAAAGACACCCATTCCCATCATTTCTTTTATTTATTTATTTATTTATTTATTTATTTATTTGAGACAGAGTCTTGCTCTGTCTTACAGGCTGGAGTACAGTGGTGTGATCTTGGCTCACAGAAACCTCTGACCCTTGGGTTCAAGCGATTCTCCTGCTTCAGCCTCCCAAGTAGCAGGGATTACAGGCACCCACCACCATGCCCAGCTAATTTTTGTATTTTTAGTACAGATGGAGTTTCACCATGTTGGACAGGCTGCTCTCGAACTCTTGGCCTCAAGTGATTCACCCACCTTAGCCTCCCAGAGGGCTGGGATTACAGGTGTGAGCCACCATACTCAGCCTCATAATTTCTTTTTTTAAAAAAATTTTAACTCTAATAATGGGGTATCACTATGTTGCCCCAGGTTGGTCTCAAATTCCTGGGCTCAAGCAATTCTCCTGCCTTAGCTCCCAAAGTGCTGACATTACAGGTGTGAGCCACTGCACCCAGCCTCATCATTTCTATTCAACATTGTACTGGAAAAGTTCTAGCTAGAGCAATTAGGCAAAAAATGAATAAATAAAAGGCATCTAAATTAGAAAGATATAAAACTGAGGCCAAATATGGTATCTCATACCTGTAATCCCAGTGCTTTGGGAGGCCCAAGAAGGAGGATAGCTTGAGGCCAGCCAGGGGTTGGAGACCAGCCTGGGCAACACAGTGAAACCACGTCTCTACCTAAAAAAAAAAAAAAAAAAAAAAAAAAAAAATTTCCCCTTCTCCCCCCCAAAAAAAATTTAATTAGTTGGGCATGGTGGCACACATTTGTGGTCTTAGCTACTCAGGACATCGTGGTGGGAGGATCACTTGAGCCCAGGAGTTTGAGATCAACCTGGGTAACATAAGGATACCCCATCTCTAGCAAATGATTAGAGCTAATAAATGAATGCAGTAAAGTTGTTAGATACAAGATCAACACATAAAATCAGTGGTATTTCCAAATACTGGCAATAAAAAATCCAAAAAGGAAATAAATCAATTCCTTTTACAATAGCATCAAAAAGAATAAAATACTTTGGAATATATTTAACTGGCTGGGCGCAGTGGCTCAAGCCTGTAATCCCAGCACTTTGAGAGGCTGAGGTGGGTGAATCACAAGGTCAGGAAGTCTAGTTGAGACCAGCCTGGCCAGCATGGTGGCCTGCACCTGTAATCCCAGCTACTGGGGAGGCTGAGGCAGGAGAATTGCTTGAACCCAGTTGGCAGAGGTTGCAGTGAGCTGAGATCTCACCATTGCACTCCAGCCTGGGCAACAGGCTCAAAAAAAAAAAAAGAAGAAGAAGAAAAGAAAAGAAATATATTTAACCAAGGAGGTATATGACTTGTACACTGAAAACCATAAAACACTACTGAAAGAAATTAAAGAAGGTCTAAGTGTGGTCATGTATTGCTTAATGATGAATGTACCTTCTGAGAAATGTGTTCCTAAGTGATTTCACTGTCATGTGAACATCACAGAGTGTACTAGCACAAACCTGGATTGTCTAGTGTACTATGCATCTAGGCAACATTCATAGCCTTGTTTCTGGGCTACAAGCACGTTACTGTATTGAATACTGTAGACAACTCTAACACAATGGTAATATTTGTGTCTCTAAACATAAGATACAGTAAAAATACAGCCTTAAAATCTTATATGACCACCATCATATATGCGGTAAGGCATGGACCAAAAGGTTGTTATGTGGCACATGACTATAAATGGAAAAATATTCATGCTTAAGGATTTAAAGACTTAATATTGTGGCTTTTTTTTTTTTTTGTTTATTTTTTTTTTTTTTTTTTTTGGACAGAGTTTCGCTCTTGTTACCCAGGCTGGAGTGCAATGGCGTGATCTCGGCTCACTGCAACCTCCGCCTCCTGGGTTCAGACAATTCTCCTGCCTCAGCCTCCTGGGTAGCTGGGATTACAGGCACGCGTCACCATGCCCAGCTAATTTTTTTTGTATTTTTAGTAGAGACGGGGTTTCACCGGGTTGACCAGGATGGTCTCAATCTCTTGACCTCATGATCCACCCGCCTCGGCCTCCCAAAGTGCTAGGATTACAGGCTTGAGCCACCGCGCCTGGACTTAATATTGTTAAGATATCAATCTTTCTCAAGTTGATCTACCAATTCAAAGAAATCTCTGTCAAAATCCCAACACCTCCCTCCCCCTTTTAATGTTTTTAACAGATAGGTAAAAGCTGAGCTAAAAGTCATACGAAATTGCAAGGGACAAAACAATCTTGAAAAAACAAGAGCAAAGTGGGAGGTGTGATTTCAAAACCTACTACAAAGCTACAGTAAGCAAAACGGTATGGTGGTTTGATTTCAAAATCTACTACAAAGCTACAGTAAGCAAAACAGTATGGTACTAGCATAAAGATAAGTTATATAATCAATGGAGTCGAATTGAGAGTGCAGAAATAACCTTATACATCTATAGTCAATTAATTTTTGACATGGGAAGAATCTCTGTTCATTAAATGGTGCTGGGACCAAAAAATTGGAAGCGCTCTCACAGAAGGGTCAAAGAAAAGTCTCTTTGCCCAAAGGGATCAAATTAACTCCTTACTGTGATTCAAGAGATTTGAACTCACCACAGGCTCCCGAAATCGCTGAACAGGAGATGAGGGGGGTGGAGGATGGGAAGTGGCATGGGTCTGTAAGTGAGGATCAATCTCAATCTGAGTCCCAGCACTAAAGACTAACAAATAAATCCCGATTAGGCAAGCTGAGACTTTATTCGGAAAGGATTATCGCAATGGGGGTTGGGGGGAAATGGACTACTGCAATAAGGGCGGAGAACTATTGCAATGGGAAGAAGGACTGTTGCAATAAGAAGAATGCTGGACTATAAAATAAAAAACAAATCTGGATATACTTAAGGAGAGATTTCAGTGTAAGAGATCCAAGGAAAGGGAAAGAAACGATTGCAATTGAGAGTGGGGTTTGGCGGAGGCTGCGGCAACCGGGAGAACCCTCCAACCATGAGATCTGCAGCGATCTCCTGGGTCAGGCAGAAAAGGGCTTTCCTTTTACAGAGAGGAGTGAACAGGGCTAGAAAGACCCGGGTGTGGGGAGGTGGGGAGAAGAGTGGAGGGTAACAGCGATGAGACTACACTGAGAATGTTTCCCTTGGGGTCCGCCTATTTTCGGGCAGTGGTCGAGGAGGGGTGGTCGCTGGCTGCCGCTTGTAGAGGCTCGGCCACCTTGTAGAGGCCCGGGGAGAGCTGCTTCACTAAAGTCCGGTCAAGTCAAGGCAGCTGGCGTTTGTCCACTTCGTGAGCACAGGCAGGTCAGCTAATCATTTGTGAGGCGAACTGGAATTTAGAGGGTTTGGGCCTGACTTTTCCACAGCTAACCACGGGGGCATCCTTGAGTTGTGACTAGGTCTTATGGGGAAGGGCGTTTGCGTGCAATAAGTCCTATCAGGAACACAAAGCGGTGTGGGGGTTTCTTCAATGTCGCTGTCCAGGACCGCAGGGCTCAGGTCAAGTTCCACATTGTCAGAATGCTGGGACGTCTCTCCCCGGCTTCAGAGGCTGAGGAGGTACCCGGGTAAGCACACGCTGGGCTCTCCGGTGAGCACACACCAAGGTGCCTGTGTCTGCCGCGCCCAGGGAAGAGGCAGCCAGCCGCTCGACCTGCTGCGGGAAGGCGCGGCGGCCATTAGCGCAGTTCTCCGCCCGGCCTGAAGCGCCGGAACGCGGTAAGCCCCGCCCCTCGGCGCGTCCCCGCGCCCGCGCGTGCTCCTCGGGTCTGCGCGGAGCCGCTGTCGGCGCGCGCTTGGCGCCCGACTGAGACTGTGAGAGGCGGGCGGGATCTCAGCGGCGCGGCCGCGGAATCTGAGGAGGTTTGGGGCGGCGGCGCTCCAGGTCTGAAAGGCTCTGGCCAAACGGAGCCTGCGACCAAACGGTGCCCGCAGCGCCTGAGCTGAGTGAGGCCGAGGCCGGGAGGCTGTGCCCGGAGGTGAGGGTCCCGGGGCTGCGCCGCGTCCGGCGGGGTGAGGGCGGGGCAGGGTGGCCGCCTGCCGGTTGGGTTCGAGGGGTCGTCTACTGTGGCCGGGCCGCCGCGGCTCGCCGGTGTCGGGGAGTCTCGCCCCGGAGGGCCGCGCGTCCGCGACTCGGGGAGGGGCGCCGGCGGCAGGGCCGGGGCCAGGCTCCCGCCCCGACGGGGTGAGCGGCGACCCCGGGCCCGTGACTCTGCCTGCGGCTTGACTCGCGAGCTCGCTGAAGGCGTAGCTCCGGGTTTTCTCGCAGGGCGTTCGGAAACTTCGAGTTATGCGCAACACAATGTTTCCATTTTCAAAGGCGAACGCTGCACGATCGCACTCTGGTGCTACAAAGTATGCCTATTAGTGACTTCACCCTCTCCCACCACTCACTTTCTCTGATGTTTTGAAGGTCTGGTGTTCGCTGATTTCACATTTCCTTCCTTTCTTCTTTGTGCCTTTTTTCCCTTTTCGCTGCCAGTAATAGTTTATTACTTGTCAGCAATGATGAACGTTCGTGTGGCGTCCAGCGTTGGTTCCTATGTACGTACTTAGAGATAAGTAAATATAGGAAACTGCTGATTTGTTTTAATGCGAACGCAGAGAAGAATGTGGTATAAAGTCTGACCGGTTGTAGTTTGTTTATAGGGAGGAAACTCTTTAAAAGTTCATGTTGTGTCTTCTGTCTAAACATGCTGAAAGTCGGATTTATTTAAAATGCAGTTAAATTCAGTGAATACAGAGCATCTTTGTATAATACTAATGTTAGTGCTAGGCACTGGTGGCGTCCAAACATGAGTAAAAAATGTGTTTAGGAGGTGGAAGTGGTTAAGCACACTGATAATAATACACGAGGCTGAATAGTCCAGTATTAATGGAAGCTCACACTTATGGAGCAGTTCTCAGCTGGGCACTGTGGAGGGTATTTTATGTGCATTTCTATTTAATAATGTTTAATATTAATTACTTAGCATATACTTCCTTTAATATTTTATAATTCAAAAAAATTTTAGTACCTACTATGTTATGAGTGCCAAGGATACGATAGTGACAATTACAGACTTGGCCTTTAGACTATACAGTATCATTGGGCAAAACAGATATTAAGCAAATAATCAGGGCCGGGCGCTATAGTTCACGCCTGTAATTCCAGCACTTTGGGAGGCTGAGGCAGTCGGATCACCCAAGGTCAGGAGTTCAAGACCAGTCTGGCCAACATGGTGAAACCCAGTCTCTCTTTACTGACAATACAAAATTAGCTGGGCATGGTGGTACATGCCTGTAATCCCAGCTACACGGGAGGCTGAAGCAGGTGTATCGCTTGAACCCGGGAAATGGAGGTTGCAGTGAGCCGAGATGATGTCACTGCACTCCAGCCTGGGTGACAGGGCAAGAATCTGTCTCAAAAAAATAAAATAAATAATCACACAAATAAATGCCAGTAAGCCAAGACAGAGGCTAAAAACGAAGGACGTAAGGTGTTTTTGAGAGGAGGTAACATGGGGACTTATCCCAGCTGGGGAAATCAGGGAAGGTTTTCCTAGGAAAGTAATCTTTGAACTCAGATATTAGGGATAAATAGGAATTAGGGGAAGATGCCTCCCAAAGGAGAGAAGAAAGGCTCGGGCAAAGGAAGTTGATGACTCAGAGGCTAGGGAAGATGGTCATTTCAGGAACTTCAGCAGTTGGTGTGTGGGAAGCAAAAGGGTGCTGTGGTAAAGTAGGTTAGGGCCAGAGAGATGATGCAGGACTTTTTTTTTTTTTTTTTTTTTTTTGGTGGCGTCTCTGTCCCCCAAGCTGGAGTGCAGTGGCGCCACTCATTGCAATCTCCACCTCCCAGGTTCAAGCCATTCTTCTGTCTCAGCCTCTGAAGTAGGGGACTACAGGCGCTTGCCACCATGCCCGGCTAATTTTTGTATTCTTAGTAGAGGTGAGGTTTATCCATGTTGGCCAGGCTGGTCTCAAACTCCTGATGTCAGGTGATCTGCCCACCTTGGGGTAAGCCACCACACCAAAGGAGATTGTATTTAAAATGGCTTTGCACATCTGTCCAGACCAGAACCCAAGGTGGCTGCACTCTTGCTGAGATATGTTGGTCCTCATTGCCTCCAAGCCCCCTTTAGCCCTGAGCTCTGTATCAGAAATGCTGTTCCTTTGGGAACCACAGCTAAAGAAGAGATGGAGTGGTCCACCTGCCACCATGGCACTGGTATTGCTTTGAGTGCAGGGGTCTCTTTTTGGCATGTCAGCCCTGTTTTTCCCTGGGAACTTTGAGTCTTATTTGGAACTCATGAAGTCCCTGTGTTGGGAATCAGCACTGATTCACACAGCTAAGTTTGCACCCTCTCATGTATCATACCTGGCTTGGGATCCAACACTTGATGTGGAACCTAGAAAAAGGACTGAAGATTCCCCAGCTATACCGGTTTGGAGTGGTTGTCCTGGTTCTTACTGTGTTGTCCTCTGTAGGGCTGGCAGCCATGTGAAGAACGGAGGTTCCCAGCATCATCTTCCTACACATTACTACATTCACCCATCTTTCTGTTTGTCCCTCTTATCCCCAGCCTGGGAAAAGTTCTTATTTGTTTAGATTGTTTTGTGTTTTTAGATCCCCTTGGAGCAATGGAATACCTTGTAGATCATAATGGTGGAAAAGGGTCTAGTTTTCCCCTTGTTTCTAAAGACGGAGTGGCTGCAAAAACTCCCCTTTTTTGCCCACAGCTTGCCTACTCCGGGTCTAGAAGCAGTTATTCTCTATTCATATTGGGCTTTGATTTGTGCTGAGGGTCAGGTTTTGGCTCCTTCTTCCTGAGACAGTGGAAACAATGCCAGGCCAGCTCTGTGGCTTCTGCCCTGGGAACTGGGGGTGAGACTTTGGGTGCCACTGCTTGTGGGTTGCTGGCTTAAAGGACAGTTCTGTTCATTGGAGAGCCCAGGCCATTAACACCTACGCAGTGCTATTGAAAGAAGAGGGTTGGGAGTGGAGGGGAATTAGCTTATCCTAGCTGGAGGGAGATGAAGAGGGCTAGTTAGTTCTTGGAGCAGCAGCTTCTTTGAGGAGAAAATATATAGCTTTTGACACAAGACAAAGATCCAGAAAATTAGCATTGAACATATTAAAGGTTATTTATTTCTTTTCTTTTCTTTTTTTTTTTTTTTTTGCATTTCCAGAAAAACCTTAATTTTATGCTTTCTCATCCAAGTCATGTACCATTTTTTTTTCTGAAACTGGATTAAAATGCTCATTTAAAAAAAGGGAGGGGGGTGCTTTGCAAGATAGGATAACATTTCAGTATGGAGCCCTGGAATGAGAATGTCTTGGTCAGCCCTGGAATGACTCAGTAAGTAACCTTGCCAGTCTGCCGAAGTATCACCTTTCCCATAGGATTTTCTCATTTAAATTACTGTTGTCACTACCACTTTGGTCATTGGAGTATATAACTATCCCATTAACAATTTTTCTAGGAAAGGTAAACTGAAACTTTCAAAAATATTTCATTTTCTATCACTTAGTATGTAGTAAACCAGAATTCATAAAATATACAAATGAACTGTCTTTTAAGTATTTGGTTCCAATGCTATCATAGTTAGGTTACTCTTGGAGGCTTGAGGGCCTAACCACATTCTGTAGAAGATCTAAGTAAAAGGAACCCAACATGGAAATGTGATCCATTGGTTTCTTTTCCCTTGTGTTTAATACCTGGAATGGCCTTATACTTAAAAAGAAACTTAAGGTTCTATATAAAGATAGCATGTCTGGTTGTATAATACCTTGATACAAATCCATAATCTAAAAAAAAAAAAAAAAAAATGGCTGGTTTTTGCTTTTTTTCCTCCTCAAATTCCTTTTGACCATAGAATATATGTTTATAAAACTAAGTAAAATTGGTAATACGGATTTTTTTTTTTTTAAAGACGGAGTCTTGCTCTGTTGCCAGGCTGGAATGCAATGGTATAATCTCGGCTCACTGGAACCTCCTCCTCCCGGGTTCAAGCAATTCTGCTGCATCAGCCTTCTGAGTAGCTGAGACTACAGTCACGCATCACAAAGCCCAGCTAATTTTTGTATTTTTAGTAGAGATAGGTTTTCACCATATTGGCCAGGATGATCTCTTGACCTTGTGATCTGCCCGCCTCAGCTTCCCAAAGTGTTGGGATTACAGATGTGAGCTACTGGGCCCCGTGGTAATATGCAATTTTTAATTTAATTTTTAATTGTACATTTAAATTTTTTTTTTTTAATAGAGTCTCAGTCACCCAGGCTGGAGTACAGTGGCATGATCTCAGCTCACTGCAACCTCTGCCTCCCTGCATTCAAGCAAATCTCGTACCTGAACCGCCTGAGTAGCTGGGATTACTGGTGTGTGTTCCCATGCCTGGCTAGTTTTTGCATTTTTAGTAGAGACAGGGTTTTGCCATATTGGCCAGCCTGGTCTCAAACTCCTGGACTCAAGTGATCCACCCAACTGAGCCTCCCAAAGTGCTGGAATTACAGGCACAAGTCACTGTGCCCAGCCACATTTAATTCTTTTTTTTTTTTTTTTTTCTTTCTGAGGCAGAGTTTCACTTAGACGCCCAGGCTGGAGTACAATGATACAATCTCAGCTCACTGCAACCTTCGCTTCCCGGATTCAAGTGATTCTCCTGCCTCAGCCCCCCATTAGCTGGGACTACAGGCAAACACCAACACCATCCGGCTAATTTTTGTATTTTTAGTAGAGATGGGGTTTCACCATATTGGCCAGACTGGTCTTGAACTCCTGACCTCAAGTGATCCACCTGCCTCAGCCTTCCAAAGAGTTGGAATTACAGGCATAAGCCACTGTGCCTGGCCCTATTTAATTCTAAAACGCAGTTTTTATATTCAGATTCTTATACACTTATTTTAAATTTTTATTTATTGACTTAAAAAAGAAATCGGAGAGTTTCCCAAGCCAGAATGGGCTTAGATGGCTCAGACTTCCAATTTATTGATTTT